CACACACACACACACAGCTTGCCTGGCCATTGGGGGCAATTTGGGGTTCAGTGCATTGCTTAAGGATATTCAGCCATGTGGACAAAAGGAGCCAGGGATCGAACCCCCGACCCTACGATTCACGGACAACCTGCTTTACTTCTTGAACCACGGCTGCATCATCAAGTTGGTATTTTTCTGTGTAAGGCCCTATGGTCTTGCAGTGGTGTGTGTTAGCACTGTATTTATTTTGTTACGCATTCAAGCTCTACTGAAGAAAGCTAACAATACACCAGTGTTGTTTTGATACGGATCCTGACCAGTATCAATGAGTTTTTAAATTCGCTTTCAGGGCCAGTTATCCATTTTCCGAGCAGATGGAGGATGATGCCTCATGAGAAGTAAAAAGCAGTACTAAAGTTAAAGAATTTGGTTATGTGATTATCATGTCTGGACGTTTGTGTTGGGCTTTTAATCTATTTTAGCTTGCCTGGTCAAAAACAAAACTGTGACTTAGTTGTCTATTATACACATATTTTTTATGTTTACGTTATGTTAGTGATTCCTCAGCCACTGACTGACGGTGACAGAAGGGATATCTTGCTTTAAGCCCGTTTAATTATTTTTCGTATGCAGTGTTCCTGTCTTTAGCCTGTACATCATACATAGATATTAATGTCATCCTGCTTGTAGTGGAATACATCTAATAATCTGCATCAATAACATCTTACAGTAAGTACTGTCAACATCGTGTCTCTTTCCACTCCTCTTCCTCCCTGTTGTGACAGCCGGTTATATTGATTGAGCTCAGGTCGAGGTTCTGACACACAGCAGCTCTGCCTCCTATTTGTTGATTACTATTGATTTTCTTTGATACTTCATTTAAAAATCAATAGCTCAGAAGAAGAAAAATAGGCATGGCTCATACATACTTTAACATACATCCTCTACACTGAGGAAGGCTTCAGATTTGGCAATGCCATGGCAGCAATTTGGAGGAAAGCTCTTTACAGGTGAAAGCCGGGGGCCCTACAGATCGATTTGCAGTTTTGCTGCCCAATCACAGAAAGTGGTCATAAATTAAGCTCATCAGTGTTACCTTGTAGACAGCCAGGATGCACATAACATCAGCTTTCCATCGCCTTGTCACTCATAAAAAAGTCCTGGGACAGTTTTGTCCTCTGTGCCTCTGAGAGGATGGACAGGGAGAAACAAACAGAGAGGCAGCAGGAGAGAGAGAGAGCGTGCGAGAGAGAGAGAGCGAGAGACAGAGAGAGAGCGAGAGCGAGAGCGTGAGCGAGAGAGAGAGAGAGAGAGAGAGAAAATGTATGTAATACCTGGAGTTCATCCTAGCGCGAAGCTTCTTTGCCTTCTTCCGTGCCTTCTGCCGCTCTTCTCCATCCTTCATGCTCTCAGAGGACACAGAGCTGTCCGTCACAATATCCACAATGTATTTCTTCAAGGATAGATGCTCCTAGAGTAGACAAAACCAATACATTAAAAGACATTGCTGGCAAATCTTTGTACCATTATTTCTAACAAGCTTCTAAAATAACAATTGTGTCTAGTCTCCGGTCAAAACAAGCCTACTAATCAGTGGTGGAAATAAAATAAGCACTTTTAGTACTGCAGTCACACTTTACTGGAGTACCTACATTTTCTGTAACTTCTACTCTGCTACCTTACAAAAATACAGTGTGATGCATTGATATAGATGTTCGTCTGCTAAAACATTAAAACGCATCAGTAAGAATATTCCAATAATCTACACTCTGAAAGAGGCTATTCGGAGTACCTTCATATTTGATACCTTAAGTACATTCCGCTTATAACCGTTCTGTACTTTTACTTAAGTAAAATTTTAAATGCAAATGCTGATACAAATGCAAATATTATATTACTGAAACAATTTGTTTCTTTACAGTGAAAGTTTACAGTTGTAATTTAATTTTACAACAATATTAAGTCAAAATTAAAATGGAAATAGAACAGCAAATATAATCCTTGTTAAATATCTCTAAGTAAAGGTTATACACTTAAGATGTGGCACCATATATATTGTGTGACATGTAGATCTACAGGTATCAATAACACCATTGTATCCTGTAATTACCTTTAATACTATACACCCTTTTGAAGCCACTTGCCCATGGACATGCTAAAAGGCTGGAGGTGTTGCCTCCTGTCTGGCACTGTCAGATGATTCTGATATTTCCGCCAGGAGACAAGGGAATGTAACCCAATTTGAACAACATGATGCATGTGCAAGAAACCAATTACCCAATTATGCTGTCATCCAGCACCCCAGAGGATAGGATGGACTGGCAGATAAAGGGTTTCTATTCAGCAGTCGGGCTAACCTGTGTGTGGGATGCCATACCCTTTGGTCACAAGTGTTGTCAGAGCACCTGCTGCCTGAATAGGGGTTTTCACTGCCGGCCGTTGGAAAAACAGGTGTCCTTAGGTGTTCTAAAGTGTGCATGAGTGAATGAGTGCCACATAACTACTATCTGAATCTAAAGGTTTCTTTACCATTTTGACTTAAAGGTCATGACACCCTATTTTATAAAACAAGCGTCTATTTGACATGCTGGATTTTAGGTTTTATGTTTTTCGTATTGGCAATAGTTTTGTCAGTGGTTGAAAGTCAACTTATTACCAGTCAAAATCTAGAAATATTTCAAATTGTGGGGTTGTTTGCTTATGTTGCCACACCAACACAGTCCTTATGACATAAATAAGCTGAGGTGTTGGGTTAGTCTTAATAGATAATATGTAACAATGTTTAGGTTTAAGTTACTTAGTAATTAATATTCAATATTTTAGAGAAATATGTAAGATTTGAAGAGACATCTTCAGGAGCTTCAATATTGATCAGGTAGTTAATTTATGAATAAGCTGGTAACTCACTTGCAGTATTTTTCAAGAGCCCAAAAGTAACAAGAGTAAAACAGAATGTGGATGATGATGATAACTTTGTAAATGTAAATGGCACTGCTAGTGAGAGTATTATGTTTCAGAAGAAGGATATGCGTGTGTGTATTTGTATGCGCACACCTCTGCCCTCTACTTTGCAATACTACAGGTCAGTCATGACTCATGACCGTAGTTGTCCCTCACTGGGGAGGCAGCTGTTCAGTAATCTCTCTGAGAGGCTATCCAGTGCACTGGCCACTCACTTAACGGAATTGTTTCAGTAACGCATCCAAAACATCTTTGCAAAATCACACTTAAAATAAAAGGGTAACTGAAATATTAAGCTGTCAAATAGAGTATAATTTTGACACACAGAATGATTCTTTAGCAAATAAATATATAATGATTACATCCCATTTCCCGTTGCTAGGTGGGTTGTCTGAATGGAGGTTGTGGAGACTGTAGAGACAATCAGACTTGAGGATAGACAGGTGTCTACCACTGAACCATTGTAACAAAGCAGGAAAGGGCGCTGGCCTAAGGGCATTGCTACCGCATAATACCACAGATAGTGAGTAATATGATAACGCTCTAAACATCTCTCCCATCTCTCCCATTTTCCCTGGCACAAACATATAACTCCTATAACAGATCTAAAAGGCGGCCAAGACAAACACATTACTCCATGGATATGTTCATCCACCGCCTCTTTTGTCACATACAAAAGGCCTTAGAGGTAGGCTTTCCATTTGGTGTGAAACAAACAGCTGTATTTCATGTTGGCTACTAGGAAAGAATGATACTACACTGGATATAGTTACCATCACTACAGTGGTTTAAATGACATTTCTGTATTTAACTGCGTCCTATCAGTGACATTTAAGGAGGGGACAAGTCACACGAAGACAAAAAAACAGTACTATTCATAAGATCTCTCAACAGCAGCTTCACTGCTAGAACTAGACGAGATGTCAGATCTTATAACAGTGTGGGAAGGGAGAGGCTCGCTTCAGCTGGCAGTCTGGATATTTCATCAAGGTTCTCAATTTGTGGCCATCAGTGCAGATTTAACTACAAGACCTTTAGGACTATTTAGTGCCTTTGAGAGGTCAGCTCTGGTACCCTCTGCAGCCTGGTGATCCCTCTACTGGTCGTGCTTGCCAAGCACTACAGAAGTCTTTCCTCAGAGAAGCCACCAGTTTTTTTAAACTGTTGTATCTAAAGGTGATTAAAGCCCTTCAGTCAGAAGCCACAGGTCTTAGATATTACCTGCATCATATTAAACCAGGACAGATGGTGAGTAAAAAGAGTGATTGCAAACTGCAATCACGTCGATTTTACCCTATTGATAATCACTGAATTTTCAATTTAATTTGCAAATATTTCAAAATGAGAGAAAATGACTAAATATGAAGGCAAAGGCCATTTGCTGCCCGCTTCTGATGAAAAACTATGGAGTGACCCTTTGCACAGCTAAACTAACCATCTTAGTTTTAATTAAAATACTTTCATTGCAGAGAGAGTTATGGAGCCACAGCCTAGAAAATAGTTGGCAGTGTTATGAATGAGTAGTGGTAAAAGTGGTAGTGGAAACCAAAATGAGCTTTGATATGAATAACAAGGGGCCACATAAGTCTATCTAAACAAAGTATCCAGACATAGATCTAATGGACAGCTTGATTAGCTTTCACATAGAATAAGAAAAAACTGTTCTGGACATCTAAATATTATCTATTAGAGATGCACTGCAATGACTAAAAGCCCAATCCAATAATAATACACATAATATAAACAGTCAAGTACAACATTTAGATACAGCCAGATGCAGAGTAAGACAAGGATGACTTGGAGTTCTGCAACTTTGACTGATTAGTACTGATAAAAAGAAAATATGCAATGTGAAAAAAACAGTAAAGCCTCAACGTTACAGTTAGTTGTAAAACTATATCATACAGAAGGAGACATATTGCAAATGTATATGAAGTAGTGCTCATATATGAACTGTTTATAGTGCTATATTGGTGAAGTGCTTCTCTCCATTGCCTTGTTTATCATACTGTCAAACAGAAAAAATGACCTGCATTTGGAAAGGAAATGATTTAGAAGAAAGGAAAGAGGGGGGTATCAATTATTCCCTGCTGAAAAAAGCTTTGAATGAAGGAGCTGCTGGGGCCAAAGGTGCTGCGTATAGCACCAACAGTTGTCAGCCTCACAATGAGCACTGCTGAAAAGCCAATCTCATATTGCAGCCTGAGAGGTTACCTTGCATTAACGAGCTGCCTTCCCATGGAAAGGCGCTCCATGACAAAAACAGCCTGGAGACAAGGGGGTGATGTCACCCCTCCACTGAAGCACTGAACCCTAACTGTGTACATTTCAAGGCCCATTTGTAATCTCACAAAGCCAGCAAAAGAGCCTTGGCAGTATATAAGGGGATGCACAAACAATAATGATGAGCACGTCATAAAAGCCAACCACGGTGTCTCTTTGTCTTTTTACATGACACGAGCAGCAGTAGGGCAGTATTCTTTGACAGGATGAGTGGAGGTTTGTTCCTGGCAGGCAGGGTGTGTGTGTGATACGCACCACTTCCTCATCAGAGAGTTCCCGTCCCTGGATGCTGCTACTGTCTCGCACGGCCTGTTGGTGCCTCTTGCCCTTGGTGTGGCTGAACAGGTGCACCTCTGAGGTGATCTACAAACACAAACACAGTGGTCAGAGGTCACTGCTGCGGACACAATGGAGACAGAGGCAGGAAAGGGTCAACAGAGCCCCATGGGATGCTGGTGAAATGATATACCACATGTGCTTGTCAATGGGACATGACCTGTCTCAACTGAACCTCAGTCTTTAAAGCAAAGACTAAAGACAGGAAATGTGTTATATATGTACAACTTGGTAATACTTGGTTTTATAATTTGTATTTCGTTGTATTATCCTTTTTATGATACCAATTGAGCCTACGGCAACAGAGTGTGGCTGGAGAAACCAGTCAACACAAATACTCTCTTGGGATTTTAATACAAAAAAGTTGAACATAAAAAAGCCTTAAGTCAAGTATTGCCACATGCAAGTTGGAATAGTGGAATAAGATATCTAAATAAATGGAGGAGAAATGGCCATAACAGGAGGCAGGTGTACAGCAAGCAATGTTGTTCTCCCATCTCTGGAAACAAGCCATCCAGAATGGTTTGTGTTTAATGTCATTAAATTAAGTGCTTGCTGCTGACCAATCCATGATCTCTGGTGTCAGATGCTGGCCAAGGTCATCTAACATTTTAACAAGATTCCCTCTTTCACCCCATGACCCTGCTCTTTATCTGATGCTGGTTTGAGGACTCAAGGTGTCCCACCCTTTTTGCCGTGGTAGCCGGTCTGTCAGAGATAAATGTGTCTGTTTGTGGATTTGTTGCCTGACATGTGAAAAAGAATAATCATCCCCAGTCATAAATCTCTGTTTAAGAGCCCATGTTTAATCAATGCAGTTAAATCCTCATTTAAATGTGCCCTCTTCCAAAAATCCTCTGAATCACCTTCCTATCAGCATTTTTATGTATATACAGCCTGCCAAATAACACAGGGGAGTTGCCCAGAGCTGTTCTGCTGCACTAACTGTGTCTTTTTCTTTTCATCATGCCCATGCGTACTAAAGACACAAACACATATTAGTTCAGAAGAGGAAAATAATTAAATGAAAGGGTAGAGAATAATTTAAGCCAATTTAAAGGAAATGAGGACTCTTTAGAATCCCGTCTCGCTATGATAATAGAGGCCATTCAAAATAGTGTGTACAGTAACAAGGCCTTTCCATTAGCACTTTTGGCCACGCGAGTCGTCCCACACCACACCTCCTAGCGGGATGCATCGATGTCTCACAGACCATGGCCAACCCTTGACAACCCCCCACCTCCCCTTAAAAAAAAAAAGTGTGTTCCTGAGACTCAACCCATGTTTGTACAGCAGACCACATAGATGTTTCAGAGTGTTAAGCTCAGGACTTTTGTAGCTTCTAACAGAATCTCTGTGGTTTGAAATTTAGTTTCTGGCCTGAGTCCCTGTCGCTCTCAGCTCTATAATAGTCTACCATGTTAAGTTACTGCTGATGAAAAGCCAAAGAACAAAATAACCAGAGATTTTTATTGTTAAGAATTTATAGGAAATGAAATGTGTTTATCACTGAATTACCGGAGCTTAGTTAGCAGCTATTCTTCAATAAAAACAAGTCTGCAGAAACCAACATTGTGGTTGTGTGTTTATTTGTGCTGTAGAATGTGACTGTTGTGAAACAATCAGAAAATAACATTTGATTTATTTGATTTACTGCTTTGTTCTTGCTAATGCCGGTCCGTCTCTTCAGTCAATCTTGCCTGTAAAGACACACCTTCAAGAGGGTAGCCCTGTTGTAATGGAGATGCAAATCCCTACCGCACTGGGCTGGTGAGTCAAACTGAGTCAGACCAACCATCACGTGTATGTAAAAGGGACATAAGTTAGGAACACCCTGACAGGATGAAACTGTAAATACCTCAATGCTGTACATACCACAACGCTGCACAGGGAGCACTGTTTCTTGCGCTCGTATGGTGTCAGTTTGGGGGCGTAGTCTGTGTTAGCATGTCGACCACTACTGAGCTCAGCCGCCTTCTCCTTCCTCTGCTCGATTTGCTCCATGTGCCTACGGCTGCTTTCATCATGCTATGGAAGTGAGCAAAAACCAGGAATCATATGGGGAACTGGGAATTCCTGTATGTAGTCCGATGAAGACACAAGTTGTCATGGTATGAATTTACCTTCATCTGAATTTTCTTCTGCAGTTCCTCCATGGCCTCCTGTTGAGCAGCACTAAGAGCAGCTAGACGCTCCTCTCGGTCTCTTAAGACAGGACATAGAAAAGCAGTGTGACACGACTGTACGGGTAACTACAAGTCTGCTATTAGTTAAATGAGAACTGGTAGCCACCTGTGTATATATGTTCATACTGAATGGATTTGGGTCTACAAACCTGGCCCTTTCTCGTGCTGCATCTTCTCTAGCTTTCTCTTTTTCGTGCCTCTGCTGTTCAATACGAGCCTCTTGCTCTTTCCTCCGCATCAGCAGCTCCTCCACCCGTGCCTGCCGCTCAGCCTCCAGTACCCGTTTACGCTCCTACAGAGGTAGTAGAAGATTGAAGTTGCAAATAAATACAAATATTACAAGTGAAAAAATGTCATGCAAATCAAGCATTGTTTTTTTGGTTTTTTTTGCACCTGCACAGCCTCGTCTCTGGCCTGCTTCTCCTCCTGTCTCCTCTGTCTATCCTCCTGCAGCTCGTTAAGGCGTTGCTCATACTCATTTAACTTGGCCAGGGCATCATGCCTCTTGTTCTGGGCTTCCAGAGTGTTGATAAATGCGATTTCATTCACCTGTAGAGACACATATACATGTGAAGTAACATATAAACACGCTGAGGGTATATACTATGAAAATAATAAACATAAATGCATATACAGAGAAGTTTGGGGGGGGGGGGTCATTTTGGCTGTTGCTATCCTAAATATTGTAACATATGACTATGAAATGTGTTAAAATATAAGAGCAATATTTTGGCTAGAATCAGCTGAACTAACACTCTCAAAATCCACAGCAGTAATTTTTTTAGGGGCATTGTGTATTTATTAATGTCATTTAACACGTGAAGTGAAAAAAGTATGACTGCAAACGTCCCACTTAATTCAGAAAACTCCTCAGCTGTCTGCGTGTATGGTTACTGCTTTTCAGGGGATCCCCTTCTTTACCTTGGCCTCTTCTTCTTGGGCTTTCTTCACGATCGCTTGGAGCTGCAGCTCTCGCTTAAACTCTGCATGTAACAGCCTTTCCTCCATCATCTTCCGACGCTGCTCCAACAACCCCTCCTTCCATTTCCTCACCTCTTTCTCCTGCAGAGAGTGAAGAGTGACAAGCAAGAGCGAGTGAAAATGTAAAAACAAAAAAAAAAGAATAATGTACATTCTCCAGGCCAAACGCAGACAATGGATTCTTAATCTATCAGTTGCTACCCTCTCCAGTGTGTCCATGTGGGAATTAATGCGAATACACACCACTTCATGTATTTATGTGGTTAATCCCAATTCATTCTAAGACTCACTCATCTTGCCATGGTCTGGGGAACAAAAACAAACTTCATGAAAGGCTGTTGATTTTTGCCAGGGGTCTCTCTCACGACTGTCTGCGGCCAGCTGGCCTGGATGTGACTGGAGGGGGTTATAATATTTAGTGATTCTATCAGGCAGTGTGCTGACAAAACCTCTCGTTACATGCCAGACTGGGTTTAGCTTGCGCGTACTTTTTTAGGGTGCTTTCCGTCAACTTTGCACGGCTTACTCACCCTCTCCAAGAGCTTCTGCAGTTTGAGTGTCTTTTCCTCACGGAGTTTGTCCCTCAGCTGCTGCGCCTTCAGCTGTTTCTCCTCATGTTTCTTCTTTGACTCTGCAATGGTTCTGTCAAAAACATGGAAACAAATCATTCATCTCTTTCTGTTTCCGCCTTACAAACAATGCGCAAAGCAGACATATACTCTTATAGCCACTAGGGCTTGTTTAGATGTTCTGGTAATCTAAAAAGAAAGAGGTCAAATTCAGCAAGTGGGCAAGTGACTCTCAAGCTGCTGGGTTAAATCCTTGTCAAAATAATCTAAGAGAATTGTAAAGTAGACTGAGGTGCTCTTCAGGAACACACTAAACAAGTAGAAAAACTGACTGTGCTGTATGGACACTGTCCATGTGTGTTAGAAATAAACAAAGCACGTAGTTGAAAAAGCATGTGTGCTCAACCACCAACCATTAAGAAAATGTTCTGCACCTTTTGCGTGACGGAGAGGACAATTTCTCGTGCATATGGATCCCATGTCCAGGAGGCCGAGCAGGTTCTTCCTCTACCATGTCCCCCCATGAGGTACGCCATGGCTCACGAGCTACAAGAGGCAAGCAAGAAACATAATTAGACTTCAGTGTAATGTTTGCCTTTAACAAAGGAAGAGAGTTCCGTTTTCATTTAGATGTTGATCTCGTACCGTCATAATCTGCCAGCACGTCACTCCAATCGATATTGACTCCACAACCGCCGTTGCCAATGCTAGTCTGTGGTAAAGATTGTTTTTAAATTTCAACATACAATGAAGTACAAATCTAAATCCAAGCTTTAACTTGCTGTCAAACAAAGGGCACCAATCATTTAGAGTATAAATGAGCACGATTAATCTTACAGAGAAGTCACTTTCGTTGTCAGTCTCCAGGTCGTTATTCTCGGCCTGAATCTCTCTGGTCAGCTGCTCTTCCTCAGCGATGGCACTGGCAATCGCCTCCTCGTTGGCCTTCTCTAGTCGTTCTGCAAGCTCCTCTTTCTTGGCAAGGACCTCTGCCATGGACTGGGGCTGAACACATGGCAGCATAGATACCACTTTACACATGCAGCATTTCACACTTTATAAATGTTGAGATCATGCAAACGACCATAGAGGAATCAGAAAAACAGAAACCCACAAGTATATAATTTTGATATGTCACAGTAGAAAATAACACAGGTGTAAATAGTACAATTAATGATGGACAAATGAATCAATTTAGCTGTTTTTGTTTTAGAGTCCTCCTGGTATTGTGCATGCTGGCTCACTTTCACAACTGAATAGGGCCTTTGTTATTCATGTACTTTATGAAACATAATTTTTTAAAATTATGTCAGAGAGGCTTTTACCTCTGCTGCTCCTTATATGTAAAGTGTAAGTGTAAAAATATTAAAAAGTATTCAATGTGCAGCACCTGTAATAATAGATTGTATCTACTGCATTTGACCACCTGATTTGTGCTTGGGTACACAATCCAGTGACTGCGGGGAACACCATATCAACCCAATCACAGTTTGCACCACACAATCATCACAAGAATCACAAGTGAGAAAGCATTCAAGAGTCATGCAGGTCACATTTACTGTGAGGATGAAGAGATGGTGGAAGGAAACTGATGGTTTTGTTACAGTAAACTGTTTACTTCAACCTTTTAAGTATTTTGGGAGTTGTATATTTTTTCCATTATTACTGCCATGTCATGCATTGCAGTAATAAGGGAAGGACTCCAGAGCATCAGGTTTTACATGAGGTATGTATGGGAAGGTTAAAAAGATCTAAATCTTAAGCACACAAGTATTGCCTGGATGAGGTCTAGACTTGACTAGACTGGTGTTAAATGTGAGGCCAAATAGCCTTCAATGTAGATTTGAGTTGAAGTTTTTTCCACATGTTCACTCACCACCTGTCAAAATCTGACAGTATCCTACTTAGAAGTGTAGTCATCCTTGATTAAGTGTATGGAGCTCTGTTTACACACTCCATGATGCTTAATAATAGTGACAACACCTGATGTGGGTAAACAATATTTGCTTAAAATCTGACACACGGTAGAATAGAAACTGGAAATACTAACGGTTCTGCAGCATTTTTTCACAGAATTTGTGGCCAAAAAAAAAAAATAAGTTGAGAGATTTGTTTTGGGCAACACCCTGGGAGCACTTGCTCAAGTACAAAAGTCATCTACTCACAGCTATTCTTCACAGTGAACGGAGCTATAACAACACTACACAGAGCTATGCAGTCTTGCCTGCCATTTGGTCTGGAGGTTTCTTAAGATTGACTTTGTTTAGGCGGTGAAGGACCCTTAGGGATCCCTGCCCCCCCCCCGCCCTCCCCTCCCTC